TTATCGAATCTGACATCAAATTCTTTCTGTATGGGTCTGAATTAGTGTCTATGAATTTTCTGGGATTTTTAGTACAATCAGGAAAAAAATATTTTTCCACCTATATGAGCCTACTGCATTGCTCGAACAGCTGATTTTGAAAATCTAAAGGGAGAGTTCTTTATCGAATCTGACATCAAATTCTTTCTGTATGGGTCTGAATTAGTGTCTATGAATTTTTTGGGATTTTTAGGGCAATCAGGAAAAAAATATTTTTCCACCTATATGAGCCTACTGCATTGCTCGAACAGCTGATTTTGAAAATCTAAAGGGAGAGTTCCCTATCGAATCTGACATGAAATTCTTCCTTTATGGGTCTGAATTCGTGTCTATGAATTTTCTGGGATTTTTAGTACAATCAGGAAAAAAATATGTTTCCACCTATATGAGCCTACTGCATTGCTCGAACCGCTGATTATGAAAATCAAAAGGGAGAGTTGTCTATCAAATCTGACATCAAATTCTCTCTTAATGGATCTGAATTAGTGTCTATGAATTTTTTGGGATTTTCAGGGAAATCAGGAAGAAAATATTTTTCCACCTATATGAGCCTACTGCATTGCTCGAACCGCTGATTTTGAAAATCTAAAGGGAGAGTTCTCTATCGAATCTGACATCAAATTCTTTCTTTTTGGGTCTGAATTAGTGTCTATGAATTTTTTGGGATTTTTAGGGCAATCAGGAAAAAAATATTTTTCCACCTATATAAGCTTACTGCATTGCTCGAACCGCTGATTTTGAAAATCTGAAGGGAGAGTTCTCTGTCGAATCTGACATCAAATTCTTTCTTCATGGGTCTGAATCAGTGTCTATAAGTTTTTTGGGATTTTTAGGGCAATCAGGAAAAAAATATTTTTCCACCTATATGAGCCTACTGCATTGCTCGAACCGCTGATTTTGAAAATCTAAAGAGAGAGTTCTCTATCGAATCTGACATCAAATTCTTCCTTTATGGGTCTGAATTAGTGCCTATGAATTTTTTGGGATTTTTAGGGCAATCAGGAAAAAAATATTTTTCCACCTATATGAGCCTGCTACTGCATTGCTCGAACCGCTGATTTTGAAAATCTAAAGGGAGAGTTCATTGTCAAATCTGACATCGAATTCTTTCTTTATGGGTCTGAATTAGTGCCTATGAATTTTTTGAGATTTTTAGGACAATCAGGAAAAAAAATATTTTTCCACCTATATGAGCCTACTGCATTGCTCGAACCGCTGATTTTGAAAATCTGAAGGGAGAGTTCTTTATCGAATCTGACATCAAATTCTTTCTTTATGGGTCTGAATTAGTGTCTATGAATTTTTTGGGATTTTTAGGGCAATCAGGAAAAAAATATTTTTCCACCTATATGAGCCTACTGCATTGCTCGAACCGCTGATTTTGAAAATCTCAAGGGAGAGTTCCTTATCGAATCTGACATCAAATTCTTTCTTTATGGGTCTGAATTAGTGTCTATGAATTTTCTGGGATTTTTAGTACAATCAGGAAAAAAATATTTTTCCACCTATATGAGCCTACTGCATTGCTCGAACCGCTGATTTTGAAAATCTAAAGGGAGAGTTCCCTATCGAATCTGACATGAAATTCTTCCTTTATGGGTCTGAATTAGTGTCTATGAATTTTCTGGGATTTTTAGTACAATCAGGAAAAAAATATTTTTCCACCTATATGAGCCTACTGCATTGCTCGAACCGCTGATTTTGAAAATCTAAAGGGAGAGTTCTTCATCGAATCTGACATCAAATTATTTCTGTATGGGTCTGAATTAATGTCTATGAATTTTTTGGGATTTTTAGGGCAATCAGGAAAAAAATATTTTTCAACCTATATGAGCCTACTGCATTGCTCGAACCGCTGATTTTGAAAATCTAAAGGGAGAGTTCTCTATCGAATCTGACATCAAATTCTTTCTTTATGGGTCTGAATTAGTGCCTATGAATTTTTTGGGATTTTTAGGACAATCAGGAAAAAAAATATTTTTCCACCTATATGAGCCTACTGCATTGCTCGAACCGCTGATTTTGAAAATCTAAAGGGAGAGTTCTCTATCGAATCTGACATGAAATTCTTTCTTTATGGGTCTGAATTAGTGTCTATGAATTTTTTGGGATTTTTGGGGCAATCAGGAAAAAAATATTTTTCCACCTATATGAGCCTACTGCATTGCTCGAACCGCTGATTTTGAAAATCTAAAGGGAGAGTTCTTTATCGAATCTGACATCAAATTATTTCTGTATGGGTCTGAATTAGTGTCTATGAATTTTCTGGGATTTTTAGTACAATCAGGAAAAAAATATTTCTCCACCTATATGAGCCTACTGCATTGCTCGAACCGCTGATTTTGAAAATCTAAAGGGAGAGTTCTCTATCGAATCTGACATCAAATTCTTTCTCAATGGGTCTGAATTAGTGTCTATGAATTTTTTGGGATTTTTGCGGCAATCAGGAAAAAAATATTTTTCCACCTATATGAGCCTACTACATTGCTCGAACCGCTGATTTTGAAAATCTAAAGGGAGAGTTCTCTATCGAATCTGACATCAAATTCTTTCTCAATGGGTCTGAATTAGTGCCTATGAATTTTTTGGGATTTTTACGGCAATCAGGAAAAAAATATTTTTCCACCTATATGAGCCTACTGCATTGCTCGAACCGCTGATTTTGAAAATCTAAAGGGAGAGTTCTCTATCGAATCTGACATCAAATTCTTTCTTCATGGGTCTGAATTAGTGTCTATAAGTTTTTTGGGATTTTTAGTACAATCAGGAAAAAAATATTTTTCCACCTATATGAGCCTACTGCATTGCTCGAACCGCTGATTTTGAAAATCTAAAGGGAGAGTTCCCTATCGAATCTGACATCAAATTCTTTCTTTATGGGTCTGAATTAGTGTCTATGAATTTTCTGGGATTTTTAGGGCAATCAGGAAAAAAATATTTTTCCACCTATATGAGCCTACTGCATTGCTCGAACCGCTGATTTTGAAAATCTAAAGGGAGAGTTCTCTATCGAATCTGACATCAAATTCTTCCTTTTTGGGTCTGAATTAGTGTCTATGAATTTTTTGGGATTATTAGGGCAATCAGGAAAAAAATATTTTTCCACCTATATGAGCCTACTGCATTGCTCGAACCGCTGATTTTGAAAATCTAAAGGGAGAGTTCCCTATCGAATCTGACATCAAATTCTTTCTTTATGGGTCTGAATTAGTGTCTATGAATTTTCTGGGATTTTTAGGGCAATCAGGAAAAAAATATTTTTCCACCTATATGAGCCTACTGCATTGCTCGAACCGCTGATTTTGAAAATCTAAAGGGAGAGTTCCCTATCGAATCTGACATCAAATTCTTCCTTTATGGGTCTGAATTAGTGTCTATGAATTAATTGGGATTTTTAGGGCAATCAGGAAAAAAATATTTTTCCACCTATATATGATACTGCATTGCTCGAACCGCTGATTTTGAAAATCTAAAGGGAGAGTTCTTTATCGAATCTGACATCAAATTCTCCCTTTATGGGTCTGAGTTAGTGTCTATGAATTTTTTGGGATTTTTAGGGCAATCAGGAAAAAAATATTTTTCCACCTATATTATTATGATACTGCATTGCTCGAACCGCTGATTTTGAAAATCCAAAGGGAGAGTTCTCTATCGAATCTGACATCAAATTCTTTCTCAATGGGTCTGAATTAGTGTCTATGAATTTTTTGGGATTTTTACGGCAATCAGGAAAAAAATATTTTTCCACCTATATGAGCCTACTACATTGCTCGAACCGCTGATTTTGAAAATCTAAAGGGAGAGTTCTCTATCGAATCTGACATCAAATTCTCTCTTCATGGGTCTGAATTAGTGTCTATAAGTTTTTAGGGATTTTTAGTACAATCAGGAAAAAAATATTTTTCCACCTATATGAGCCTACTGCATTGCTCGAACCGCTGATTTTGAAAATCTAAAGGGAGAGTTCCCTATCGAATCTGACATCAAATTCTTTCTTTATGGGTCTGAATTAGTGTCTATGAATTTTCTGGGATTTTTAGGGCAATCAGGAAAAAAATATTTTTCCACCTATATGAGCCTACTGCATTGCTCGAACCGCTGATTTTGAAAATCTAAAGGGAGAGTTCTCTATCGAATCTGACATCAAATTCTTCCTTTTTGGGTCTGAATTAGTGTCTATGAATTTTTTGGGATTATTAGGGCAATCAGGAAAAAAATATTTTTCCACCTATATGAGCCTACTGCATTGCTCGAACCGCTGATTTTGAAAATCTAAAGGGAGAGTTCCCTATCGAATCTGACATCAAATTCTTTCTTTATGGGTCTGAATTAGTGTCTATGAATTTTTTGGGATTTTTAGGGCAATCAGGAAAAAAATATTTTTCCACCTATATATGATACTGCATTGCTCGAACCGCTGATTTTGAAAATCTAAAGGGAGAGTTCTTTATCGAATCTGACATCAAATTCTCCCTTTATGGGTCTGAGTTAGTGTCTATGAATTTTTTGGGATTTTTAGGGCAATCAGGAAAAAAATATTTTTCCACCTATATGATACTGCATTCGCGTGAAGTGCTGATAATGAAAATCTAAAGGGAGAGTTCTCTCCCGAATCTGACATCAAATTCTTTCTTTGTGGATCTGAATTAGTGTCTATGAATTTCTTGGGATTTTTTGGGCATTCAGGAAAAAATATTTTTCGACCTGTATGGGCGTATCATCGCTAGTCAATTTCGAAAATATTTGGGGAAGTACATTTTTCAATAATTGTAGAATGGCAAATACGATTCGTTGTCGGTATAACGAAGCGTTTGCGGAAGGAAAATAAAGTCTTATCTCCACCTGCTAAATAAGTCCCTGAAATCTTGAAATTGAATTTTGAAACACCCTGTATTATATTCTGTCGATATAAGGTCAATATTATAAGTGTTTCGCACATAGTGGAATTTAATTTTTTTCCAGAAATTATGCCAACATCTTCTTCAGTATTGCTGATCATCTGCAGCTGTACAGCTTCTGGCATTTTTCTCTCGGAAGTAGGGGCTGCTTTTCTTCCGAAAAAGGTACCTCGACTATATTCAATATTTTGCACTCAAAAAACATACCACACTTGCAAAAAATTCAAAAACTCAACATCAACTGATTTCGGCGTAATGGTCATCATCAGACTATCATTATCAATATGATGATGAAATGAGTATTTGTATTGATATTTTATGATGTATTGTTATTCATATTTTAGGGACTGGCACCTTACCTCACCAGGGAACGAGTTTTTGTTGAGCCAGATAAACGGCCATTTTGTAATGCTTTCACAGGTAGGTTCATCGAATATATTGTTTAGTTGAATTAAATGGACAGGTGTCTTTAGTATTTCGTGTTTACTCAAAAACAAATCAAGATATTGTTATTTGAAAAAAAAATATATCCTAGGTATATCGTAGGAAAAGATCGAAAATTCTGAAAAAGTATATATTGTCCTCGAATATCACATTCCTGATTCTTTCATTTTTCGAATTTTTCAGCTTGAATCCTGATGGAAAAAATGGAACTATTCTGAAGAGGTTAATTTTCTATCAAGTATCATTATTTCTGATCCAGAATTATCTGAGACAATTTTAGTATCCGTGCTGACAGTTTAATCTAGTACGTGTTTGAATTCAAATAAAAAGGCTCAAAGTCTGAATCCAATGAAGAAAATTAAATGTAGATGAATAGATTGAATTTTAAGCAAAAATAATTCACAGATTTCTCCAAGGATTTCTCTAGAACCAAATAAATAGCTTTAATTCAGAGAATAATGTCTGGATATTCAATGAATGAGTCTGAATTCTGAGAATTAAGTATACATTTATAGAAACAAATAAAATAGAGTCTGACTGAATTCGAGCAAAAATATTTTTGAATTCGAATAAGCAATTCAGATTCAAAGAATATAGTCTGGAAATCTAATGGAAATACGCCTGAATCGAAAAATTGAAGTCTTGATTCAATGGAAAGTCAAAATTCAAAGAATTTAGTACACATTCGAAAAAACAAGCATACGAATTCAAAGAATTAATTATTCCAGATTTTCTGTGATTTTCCCTCCTCGTTTCTATATATGAAATAAAAATATGAATATTATTTAAATATACGTGTAGTATGTGTGTTTGGCCCAAAATGTCACTGCGTTTAAAGAATTTTCCTATCAGAGAGCCTAAAAGAAAAATTCACTAGCTTGTCAGTGAACATTTTTATTGAAAAAGGTTTGGAGAAGAGAAATAAAGGTATATAGAAAAAAATCAAATTTTCACTTAGCTTTGGACGTTTCGGGAACGAATCTGCTCCCGTTTCCAACATATTTTCATTTCATAGAAACGAGGAGAGAAAATTTCAAAAAATCTGTAACGATGAATGTACCACCTAGTCGATTAACCTACAGACAGTATTTATCAAAGAATTATAAGTTTGACGCCTGAAAGAAACAGTAGAAGACACAACAGTGACCTCTCTGATCACTCCCCAACACTTCTAACCTTTTGTATCACCCCACCAGGGTGCGGTAGGAAGCGATCCAACCTTCCCGCTCTAGCCGACAACGGCGAGGAAATGGACGAATCGATCAACAGCCTGCTAGAGTTGAGCGCCGAACCCGCCGTGGAGGACCTCTCGCGGCAAATAATGTCCGAGGCGAAACTGTGGGAGGCCATCCAGGAGGCGAACGTGGAGCTGAACAGACGGAAGTCGCCGCTAGATGGCATGCAGGCTGATGAGGCGGTGCCTGCCAAGAGCGCTGTAGCCAGTTGCGCGCTACCGCCATGTTACATTTAGGAAAGATCGATAGTTGGCGGTGGCTGGGGCGTACTTCTCAAATAGATTCACGGCGACGTGGTTTTAGCCACCGGATGAACAAATTCATCATTTTTACGTTTTTGCACCTACGGTAGTTTTTCACTTTGATTTACAGTTTTGATTTGTAATTACAAATACAAATCCAAGTTTTTGTGGGCACAGCTATTTATACTAGGGTCCCTTGATGTAAATTGACGTATTTGTCATTTGGTAGATGTAGCGATATTGAATCGATCTCTCCGAAGATCAATCTTTGCATTTCCATTTTTCAGTTTCCACAGTTCAGTTAACATTTTTAATTTGTGAGAAAATCATGAAAGTGAGTTTTTTTGACTCGGCTACGAAGGGATGCGAATGGTAACTGAGCAAACTAGGTTAAAATTCATTTTTTTCTGACCGAATTGATGATTCTCAGAAAATGAATTATCTACTTGAAGATTCAAGTTTGCATTTTTCGGTTTCTTATCTAGTTTTTTTTTACAAATTCAACACCAAAGTAACATGATTGTTTCTGCTCAATTTTATCAAGTTATCATCCTGTGACCTTGTCATTATTCACTTCAGAAAGATCGTTATTCATAAAATGAATTTTTGACTTTTTAGTTTCCAAACGGATCGATTTTTGAATTCGATCTTTGTTGAAAAATCGCCATTTATGATCTAAATATAACAATTATCTACTTACAATTCTGAAAAATACCTACTATGATGGCATTCAAACAGGCCATTCTGTATATAATATCAAAATATCCCTTCTATTCAGAAACTAGATGTTATTTTTTTTTGTTTGAGAAATTATGGTCAACAATATGTGTGAATTTTTTTTAGGATCTGTAAAATAATCAGATCGATCTATTGTATGTTCAATAAAAATATCAAGTGAAGAATATAAAAATCAAGAATACATTTTGTCTATTACTTGTCTATTACCTATTCGCGATAGAAAATAACACCTGTGCACAGACCTGGGTACCTGCAACTAATGAAGGAAGTAATCATGACAAGTAAATGCCTGTTCGTTTGGGAGAAATAAAAAAAAATTATACAAATTATCATCAGTTCTAACAAATTTGGGAGATCCGTATCTGTGCGCCATCTACAGGCCGATCTGCCAAACCGCCATGCTGCAACAGCGGGTATCCCGACCTGGCCAGCCACAGTTCCAGCTGCAGGCTTGGGTCCATGGGCGGGGCAGCAAACGGGTCGTTCTGAATATTCGCTCATATGTTTAATTATATCTATGAAACTATCGACATCAGTTTTTTCAACGGACCCTTTGGTGAATTCATTCTTGAAGGAAATGCTTTGTTGGATCATCATCAGAGAATCATGAATATCCGCAATTACACTTCGTCCAATAGCCTACTATTTTATATTCGATTGATGGTTTTATATCGATGAAAGTACCTACCTAATCGAAACCAAATCTCATTTTTTTATGATGTTTCATTCTCAAATTCAACGTATAACATTTTGTTCCTGTCGCCAATTAGAGAATATTAAAATTCCTGTAATTTCAAGAGAAAATCGTGAGAAGCAAAGGAAATAAGGTAGGAATTGGTGTTCTTCTTTAATATCTGGAGGTTATATGCCTCGGGGAACACCTCCCTTGGCAATGTGTTCGAGAGCCTCGCTGTTCGTTGGATGAACGAGTCTTTGGATGTTCTGCAGGTCTTCAAAGTGACCACGAAGAGATGAGAAGCCTCAAATCGACGGGTTAATCTCGCGGGGATTGCCAATGGAGGAACAAGTGTTGATATTTCAGAAGAGCATCATCCATGAAAATATCTATGAAATAGAGCCAGATCGCCAACTTTTTCTACGGTGTTCGAGATAAGTGAGTGAGTTTGTGAGCGAGGCATCACCCACGAGACGAATAGCCCTTTTTTGAACAGAATCCGACAGTTTCAGGGTTTGTTTGGGTGCTGCACTCAAAATATGGGAACAGTATTCCAGGACAGGTCGGATCTGTGCCTTGTAGATCATAAGCAGCTGACTGGAAGTGAAATAACTCCTGGCTCAAAACTGAAACCCAAGTTTTTGGGATGAACTTTTAGCAATTGATCTCACGTGATTTTCCCAAAGAAGGTTATTGCTGATAGTAATACCAAGCATCGAAATGGATGTCTTCAAAGGTATGGTTACTCCTGACAAGCATATGTTGGGCGCAGTGAGATCGACTTTTCTAGAGAAGAGGCATGCTGTGTTTTGTTTGCATTGAAATCTACCTAGTTAATGGATCTCCATTAAAGAATTGTTGCCAAGTCCATATTTATAACGTCAACGTTTCTCCCTCGTTCGTCTCTGATTTGCCTGGCTGGTATTGGAGCCCTGGAAGAGAAGGCGGGATGGAGGGTACTATCATCCGCGAAGCTGTGTACTGGACAAAAAAGATGCTTCCAAAAAATCGTTGATATGGAGTAAAAATAGTGATGGTGCTAGAATTGATCCTTGCGAAACACCAGCATTCATGATAAGAGAGGCAGATAAAACTCCGTTGACCACTACATGGAGGGACCTGTTTGAGAGAAAAATAGCTAGCTTATTAACTTCAATAAATGCAGAACACGACAAAGGAATCAACAAATCATCCATTTATTAATAAACGTATAATATCCAGCCAAAGAAAATCCTCATTATAAACATCATAAACAATTATCGACATTTATACATCCGCCCGTCCTTTGTTCTCCTCGTCTGTCATCATCCGTATCTGAGCGCCATCTAGCGGCCTGTCCGCCAAACCACCGCGCTGCAGCAGTGGGTACCCCGACTTGGCCAGCCACAGTTCCAGCCGCAGGCTCGGGTCCATGGGCGGGGCAACGAAAGGGGCGTAGAGGGGGTCGCTGCGCTTTTTCAGGTAGTTGAAGCAACAGGTGCGGAAGTGGCGGGTGCCGCAGGCGGAAGTGCATTCCGACCCGCAGGAGTTGCAGGATTGGGCCTCGCTCCAAACTACTCCTGAAAAGGAAGATAGAAAAAAAGGATGAAGAAATTGAAAAAAAACAATGATCATTTCTTTAAAATCCTTTCAGCCCTACTTTTTTTCTTGAATAAACTGAGTTGGAATTGTAATTTCTGAGTTATTTTGTATATAATTATGAGGTTATTGAAGAGGAATATTCTCAGATGAATAATGATTTCTTTAAAATCCTTTCAACCCCAACATTTTTTTCTTAAATGTCACTCTGTACATTTCTTCAGTCTATCTTTTTTGCCTTGAAATTCTCTATCCAACCATGTATCACAAAGTGGCATTTATTTCTTAATTCGCTGTTGAATTGCTTTTTATTCAAAAAGAATAAGTTGGTGACATGAATTCGATGATATATCGACACTTGGTAGGCTTTGAAATTTACATATCATTAGTAAACCGATATTGTTCTATCCGTCAGTGAAATAATCATAGTTCTCATAAAAATGTCTCATCATTCATATCTCATTGTTCAAAATGTTTTGATATTCTGATCAATGTCTGCAGGTTGTCAATAGCTTGTTTGGGTCAAGATGAAAACCTTCGAAAATAACTCATGATATTGAGGAATCTAAGATAGGAACATATTTTTTCGAATTCAGCTACTCGAGCAGAAACTATCTGTCTTTTATTTTCGTCATGTACCTATCACATGATCTTCCCATTTGGAATAATAAAACTAAAATTTTTCCTCTTATACGATGATCCACAGGGCTATCAGTCTATTTTTTCATAATTATTTCACTTAGTTGGCGTGCACCTACACAAAATGTTTTATGTGTTTGACAGTTAATCGATTGCATCAATAATTTTTCTTCTTCATTTGTGTGTTGATTGAAATTGCATATTACGTTTTCGTTTCTTGAATACATTTATTTAGGTTGGTTTACTAGATCTGGTAACATATCTTAGGTTAGGTTACTAGATCTGGTAACATATCTTAGGTTGGGTTACTAGATCTGGTAACATATCTTAGGTTGGGTTACTAGATCTAGTAACATATCTTAGGTTAGGTTACTAGATCTGGTAACATATCTTAGGTTGGGTTACTAGATCTGGTAACATATCTTAGGTTGGGTTACTAGAACTGGTAACATATCTTAGGTTGGGTTACTAGATCTGGTAACATATCTTAGGTTGGGTTACTAGATCTGGTAACATATCTTAGGTTGGGTTACTAGATCTGGTAACATATCTTAGGTTGGGTTACTAGATCTGGTAACATATCTTAGGTTGGGTTACTAGATCTGGTAACATATCTTAGGTTGGGTTACTAGATCTGGTAACATATCTTAGGTTGGGTTACCAGATCTGGTAACATATCTTAGGTTAGGTTACTAGATCTGGTTGGGTTACTAGATCTGGTAACATATCTCAGGCTAGGTTCGTTTCTTGAATACATTTTCCGTCTCTATTGATAATATGCAATTTTAATCAACACATCAAACATTTTGTGTAGGTACACCGCCTACTAAGTGAAATAATTATGAAAAAATAGACTGATAGCCCTGTGGATCATCGTATAAGAGGAACAATTTTAGTTTTATTATTCCAAATGGGAAGATCATGTGATAGGTACATGGCGAAAATAAAAGACAGATAGTTTCTGTACGAGTAGCTGAATTCGAAAAAATATGTTTCTATCTCAGATTCCTCAATATCATGAGTTATTTTCGAAGGTTTTCATCTTGACTCAAACAAGCTATATTGACAGCCTGCACTCCTGCAGACATTGATCAGAATATCAAAACATTTTCAATAATATCGGTTTACTAATGATATTCAAATTTCAAAGCCTACCAAGTGTCGATATATCATCGAATTCATGTCACAGCCAACTTATTCTTTTTGAGTAAAAAGCAATTCAACAGCGAATTAAGAAATAAATGCCATTTCGTGATACATGGTTGGATAGAGAATTTCAAGGCGAATAAGATAGACTGAAGAAATGTACAGGGTGACATTTAAAAAAAAAGTTGGGGTCACTTCCGGTCAAACAGGTGGTTGAAAAAAATTGTCGGTAAGTTTGTAAAGTGCACTACCATTTATTATATACCTCCTGTGAATTTCAAAATTTTATCTCCTCGAATAAAAAACTACAGGCTGCTACATGTCTCCTGTGTCACCCGGTATAGCTATGGCGATCGAGTGATGGGACACCTTGTATATCGAAATAATATCAATATTTTGAATTTATAGTAACTAGGAAAGAAAATCGAGAAAAAAATCTAGAGAAATGAGTGTTCTACGTAGATTTTCGAATCTAGATTCTATATTTATTAGAAGTCATTGTTGAAAGATTGTGAAAATTCTACATACCCAGTATGAACAAAAACGCTAGAAGAGTCAATTCCCTCATCTTCGTAGTTACCATGGACTAGTGGAAGAAACTATCTTTTCTGTCAACTGGACTTCACCACTCGCGTCAAAAAGTGACACTCTGCACCTGAACGAGGATCTTTTATAAAGTTCCCTCAACCCCCGTGTGACCCTCCTCTGAAATGAAGTGGGGCTCACTTTTTCGTGTCTATCTTATCAAGATTGCGGGGACGTCTTCCTAACACCATAGGCGTACAGAAAGGCAAAAATAAGGGAGATTCGGGAATTCATTCTCCATTTTTATGTTGAAAACTCGGATTTCACTGAGGAGAAAATTTATATTTTTGAGATATATCTATATTCCTCTTCTCGAAACATTTTCAAAAGCGAATAAGTGTCACTGACTATCCATTGGATTTTTTCTTTCAGATTTTCTACAAGTGACATTTTGGTACAGCTCATCTGATTTGTCCTCACCACACATAGGTACAGAATGTTTCAAATTGCAGTATCCATGATTCAAGTGCATATATTTTCCAGGTCAAATGAGACTTTTTTTCTATAAATAATATATGTTCGCAAATGCCTAGTTATCGATCTACAGAACGTTGAAATTTTCTTCCAGATTTAGCATATCCAGATCAGATTTGTAACGAAATGGGTAAACCTATTGCCACAAAGGAAAAACGCTGAATATTGAAAAAACTGAAAGACCAATAAACGCCTAAAAAGATCTTGCAAATACAACGCTCTGTATATTGATGTATCGATGAGTCTTATTATTTTGACCTGAAAAATACGTCATTGAAATTTTGAAAAGTACTGAATTCTGAGAGAAAATCACAAAGCATATTATCGATACGTTTTTGAAGAAAATATATTTCACGTGTCAAAATCTGAAATTTTGGTGATTTCAACCAAAAACAATACGTGAATCTCAACTTTTCAGTTTGAGGCAAAACCATTCAAACAAAACCAAATTTGGATGAAATCACTCGTCCCACAGAACACGTGATTTTATCAGGGTGATTCAAAATTCTATGTAAATATTTTAAGGACGTATTGTTGGGGTCAAAATACGACTTCTTCTCTGTATAAACATGTGTCCTAAAATTCCTGAAAAGCACCCCATTTCGGCCATTAAAAGTGAGGACCCTTTCCAACCCTCCCGAAATCTGGGTTCACATAATTTTCGAAGAAAGAATGAAATAAAGTGTCTAAAAGAACAGGAGCCTGCCAATTCTCAGAAGATTTGATCCTTTATTTCAGTCACAATTTCAGAATATCTTTTTTCTTTGCCTAACTCACAGTGGCTGTAGAGCTTGGGGAGAGTGAATTTTAGGACATATTATGTTTATATGCAGAAAAAGTCTTATTTTGATCCTAACAATATGTCCTTATAATATTCACATCGAATTTTGAATCACCCTGTATAATTTCATTTCCAAATGTTATTAAACCAATTGTGTGTATTTTTTTTTTTTCATTGAAAACTCTCGTGAAAAAAAAATAACGATAAAATTATTAGGTATATATACCCTTGATAATATTGATGATTTCGTTTTAGAATGATACGTCTATGTATAACCAATTGAATTTCAAAGGGAAAACTTTTAGTGCGAATTACCCCTGATCGGTTTATGCAAACAGCATTTTTATTTCAGCTTCTGAAAGTTTGTGCCTGTTGCTCTCCGTGCTTTTCAACTTCATGCGGCGTAAACTAATTTGAAAAATTGGCGGGCTCTTCTTTTTGTCAACTTTTCCAATGAATAAAATACATCGCAGGAATAAAGAATCAAGATCTGATTTATTGGATACTTTATGTATGGTGATAGCTCTACCGCCGATTCAACAATTCAGTCAGTCAAGTTGAATTGAATAATAGCTATATCATTACCCAGAAACCAGTATTGTATAAGGTCCTGTGTAATAATATTCTTCACTACCGATAGGTGTATATTAAATTTTTTCCACCACTAGCAATATATTTTAATGATGAAAAGGAATATTCTCAGATATATTAGGAATATGAAAAAATAAATACAAATATGAATATAGAAATACACTGAAATTTCGCATTCTCTATGTGAAAATATTAATTCTTTCTCGGTATATTCAACAGAGAACAACTACTTTCCTGGCTATGTGCCACGACGAACATTGAATTATATCTATTGAACACACACGATAAGAATCTGAAAATGAAATCTTCTGAAGCTGAGAATTTGCATTTTACTTCAAATAAAAGTATACATGTCATTCTGAATATTCAACAGGAAATAACCACTTCCCTGGCTATTTGCCACGTCGAACATTGAATAATATCTGTTGTTAAAAATATAAAAAGATAACATGGAAATAAACATCCTCTGAAATTGAGAAATGACATTATTTTTGAATCGGATTGTTCTCTTTTTGGATCTTCAACAGATATTATTCAATGCTCGACGTGGCGAATAGCCAGGAAACTAGTTGTTTTCTGTTGAATATACCGATGAAGAGTTGATATATTCATCACAAAGGGAATGCGAATTCTCAATGTATTTCTTTATCTCAAATATTCATTTTTTCATATTCATAATATTATATCTGGGAATATTCTTTTTCTACACTTTCATACCCAATCAAGGGGTTCAAACGCAGATTCGTGATTGGGTTTTCTGAATTCAGAATTGTCTTTCCACGCCCTGTATGATGAATATCAATTTGTCATATAGCCAAATATATTTCAATCATTATAGATCTGTGAAACTGAAATAAGTACCTATTGTCGCTATGAAAGCACTTTTTTCAAATTATAATTGAAATCTAGTAGCCATGACCTAGCATGACAACATATCACAAAATCCGAGTGGCATTCCTGCGAATCTCGCATCAGAACTATGGCTATGTCTTTATTGACCAGTATACATGGTGTTAACAAATAAGTGTCACAACGGAAAACTGTAGATTCTTCAAAATAAGAGAAACATTTCTGTCGTCTTCAAAATTTTTCTCCGGGCTTCCGTTTTCAAGATACAGGGCGTCAATACAATACTACAATACTACAATACTTAATAAACTTGACAAAGACCAGCATCGAGACCAGCATATACTCAAAAACCTGACATCTGATTGAACATATTATTAGACAGTTCTGAGGTGTTTATTTCCAGTGGATTTTCAGACGTTTTCTGGAGATACCATCAAGATTTTGTATGTCCTTATTCATAAAGAGCCATTTTTAGCGGAAACTGTTCACTTTAGAGCATTGAGACAGGAGGGCGTTTTTTGTGTAAAAGATATTGGCGCTTCAGAATCTACTTTGGAAATTACAATTTCTCCATTGGATAAATGTTTGGGGGGTCAAACCCTTACGATGCGTTGGATTCTCCTCCACTGACATGTCCAAGAAAATTGATCAAGAGCTCTAAAAGTAGTCATTATTGATGATGAAGTGTGTACGAAGGCTTATCTCCGTAGCTCAAACGGTCTCTAAGATAGTAGCAAAAAACAGATTTTTTTGTATTTTTTTTGACGCCCTGTATCTGGAAAACGGAAGCCCGGAGAAAAATTTCGAAAGGGAAAAAATGTTCATTTTTTCATGAGGAATCTACAGCTTTCCGTTGTGCCACTTATTTGTTAACACCCTGTATAGTTCATAAAATGACGAAAACTACCTTGATAGGAAAAACACACTTTACAATAGCATAGTGGGGGAAAATATAGAATTTCTGCTATTATGTGATGCATTTTTCATTATCTATATGTACGATTATGACTGGATCATTTTCATTATGAATAATCTATTTGTGAAATAGTCTTGCATCACACAGATATCTCTTCAAATTATATTTAGCCGAGCTAATATCGATGTCGTTCAGAATTTACAACTTCTGCTATAAAAATTCCAATATGAATGTAACTCTTTGATTTTTGTGCCGATTATCGCTTAATAAACCTGGAATTGTGATTTATTGGGATTATCTATAAAAATAGGGAATATTTCATGTTATTCATCCAGCCATTCTCACATAAAGTTTCGTTTTTTATATTCTTGGCCAACTCTAGATCGAACATTTATACTTTGGGCATCGTGGGTGTTTGAAATTCGTAACAACAGATTTTCTATCCTGATCAGACTGTATAATATTGATAGTGACATATGAAACGTTTGTGTGATTCAGAGATTTTTCACTCCTGTGATTGGAGGTACTGCAAATTTAACATCTCTACTCAGAACCTATTGTATGCCATTATTTTGACTAACTCACTAGTGATCTCAGGAACTTATCTCCTTGTGATGTTATGAGTGAATTCATATATTATTATATCTTCCTAGCGCCCCTCATATAGGTATTGTATATTACTTAATTTCCAACATCTGATACATTATAAAATCCTATTTTCAATAAATAATTTCCATTATCTTACAAAATTGCTGATTCGTCTTTATATCATATACAGGGATGTAAAGAAGGTAAGGATTTTTTGGTACCTTTTGAAAAAAGCTATGTGTAGTGAACTACTGATAATTGAAACGATTTCTATACACCAAACTGTAACCCAATCTATTCTGAATATGTTAATTTTTTATTCATTTCGACATCTCTATCATTACAGAGTTTATAAAGTTTTAAAGAAAATGTTGATATTGATCTCAATTTTACCCTTGTCTACACTCGAACTGGGGATAAGTACGTATCGTTAATCAACTTGTTTCCGTGAGGATTTTTACTTTGAGATGAAAATTGTTCACAGTTTCACCTATCCGTTTATTGTTGGAAGACACATACGAATACGCTGATTATGTAGGGGGATAACATTTTTCTTTTAATGTTCATTGTGGTGAAATTCTATTTTTGTTCATCAACGCTGGCCATTTTGTTATTGTCATTTTTTATCGTCAAAGTCAAGCGATCTAAAATTCATAATTTTGATTATTGAACATTCAACATGGAGGATATGACTCCTACTGATGAGGCGAGGGCAGTAGCATTAATTGGAAATGGTAAATCGTACACTGAATTCAAATCTACGATTCATCGGAATGTGAGACGTTGAAGACAAACAGGAGAGTACTTGAGGAGATGGGGCCAAAGAAGAAAATGGTCAACCACGGCTAGA